TCGTTGGTGGAGAACGCAACGGAGGCGGAAAAGGCTGCGCACAAAGAATTGAAGAAGAAGGATTATAAAAGCACTCTTTATAATTCATCAGTGTGTTGATCCTGATAACTTTGAAAAGGTTAGTGATGTTGATTCAGTAAAAGAAGCATGGGAGATTCTTGAAAAGTCGTTTGGAGGCGCAGAGAAGGTGAAAGAGGTGAGGTTACAAACTCACAAGAGAACCTATGAGTTGCTTCAGATGGAAGACAGTGAAAGCATTACAGATTTCTTCACCAGAGTTACAAAGTTAGTGAATCAAATCAAAGTTTGTGGAGAAGCGCTGACGACGAAAGCAGTTGTCTCAAAGATTTTGAGATCGTTGGCTCCAAAATTTGACCACGTGGTAGTTGCCATAGAAGAGTCGAAAAATCTATCAGTGTTGACGAAGGAAGAGCTTCAAGGGACTCTTGAGTCTCATGAACAGAGGATGGCTGAGAGAGCTGCAAGAAAGTCGAAAGATATGGCTTTGCAGGCACAGACGGAAAATGAGAGAAAAGGCAAAGGTAGCTGGAATGGCAACAAAGGAGGAAACCAGTCGAATCAAAAGAAACCTTAGAACCAAGGCAACCAAAGAGGTGGTGCTGCAGGTAAAGGAAGAGGTGGTGATTGAAAGACAGACAAAAGCCACATTCAATTTTTCAATTGCCAGAAGTATGGTCATTATGTTAGTGATTGTCCAGAAAAGAAGAGAAATCAAGAGACTGATGCAAAGCTGGCGAAACATGAAGAAGAAGAAACGTTGCTAATGGTTACAACAAAAGATGAAGAAAGATTCCAAGATCAGTGGTACTTGGACTCAGGATGCTCATCACACATGATTGGAAGGAAAGATTGGTTTGTCAACATGAAGCCCTCGTCGAAGAACACATTGAAGTTTGCAAATGACAACACTCTAGCAGTTGAAGGTGTTGGTGATGTTCTGATTATGAGGAAAGATGGCAAAAGGTTAACAATTTCCAATGTGTTGTACATACCAGGCATGAAGAGTAACTTGCTCAGTATAAGGCAGCTTGTCGAAAAGAACTACAAGGTAGTTGTCGAAGACAAGATGATGAGAGTTCTCGAAGCAGGTGGTAGATTAATCTTGAAGGCTCCAATGTCTCAGAATAGGACCTTCAAGATTGGACTCAATGTGATGGAGCATAAGTGTCTAGCAACTGCAGCCAGCAGAGATGAGTGGTTATGGCATTTTCGACTAGGTCATCTCAACTTTAATGACATCAGAGAACTGAAGAAAAGAAATATGGTTTTAGGATTACCATAAATCGACATTCCAAGTGAAGTCTGTGAGGAGTGTGTTCAGTCGAAACAACACAAGAATAGCTTCAGCAAGGATGCAGGAAGGAAGTCGAAGGCAATACTTGAAGTCATATACTCTGATGTATGTGGTCCAATCCAGGTGGATTCGATTGGTGGCAATAGATACTTTGTCACGTTTATAGATGATTATAGTCGAAAGCTGTGGACTTACCTCATCAAGAAGAAAAGTGATGTGATTGAGGTATTTTCCAGATTCAAGTCCATGGTCGAAAGACAGAGTGGTCGAAAGCTGAAAATTCTGAGGACTGATGGTGGTGAAGAGTATGTGTTGAAAGAGTTCGATACACTATGTGTAAAAGAAGGGATTGTACATGAGGTGGTGCCACCCTACACTCCACAGCAAAATGGGATTGCAGAACGCAAGAACAGAACCATCATGAATATGGTGAGAAGTATGTTGAATGGAAAGCATCTACCTAAAGAATTATGGGGAGAAGCAGTTTCGACAACAACATATATATTGAACAGATGTCCGACGAAGAAGCTTGAAGGAATCACACCAGAAGAATGTTGGTCTGGTGTCAAGCCTAGTCTCAGTCACTTGAAGGTGTTTGAATCTATAGCACATAGACATGTGCCAGATCAGTTGAGAAGGAAGCTTGATGATAAGTCGACTCAGATGATCTTGATAGGATATCATTCGACAGGAGGTTACAAGTTGTTCGACCTAGTGAATAAGCAGGTAGTGATCAGCAGGGATGTGATCATAGATGAGCTTAAAGAATGGGATTGGACTGAGAATGCCAAGAAGGATTCAATGAGAATCTCTTATGAAGAACCAGCCACTGAAGTCGAAATAGAAGCTCGAGTAGAACCAGTTGCAGATGAAGCAGGTTCAAGCCGACCTCGACGAACAAGACACATGCCTGTAAGGTTGCAAGAATGTGTAATTACATCAGATGATGTAGTCGATGAAGAGGGTGAGTTGGTACATTATGCTTTTTACGCAGATGTCGAGCCAGTCAATGCAGCTGAGGCATTGAAAGATTCAAAGTGGATGAAAGCAATGATTAAAGAGTTGGAGCCCATCGAAATCAATGATACCTGGTCACTTGTCGAATTTCCACAAGGCAAGAAGGCAATTGATGTGAAGTGGGTTTACAAGGTAAAGGTAAATCCTAAAGGAGAAGTAACTCGACACAAGGCGAGACTTGTGGCGAAAGAATTTCTTCAGAAGGAAGGAATCGACTTCGATGAAGTATTTGCACCTGTTGCTAGAATCGAAACAATCAGGTTGGTTGTTGGTCTAGCAAATATGAACAACTGGCACACATGTCAGATGGACGTGAAGTGGGCCATGATGAATGTAGACAGTTTAGACACAATGAATTAGGTGGTGTGTTAAATATAATTCATTGTGATTTGATATGATTAGATTTGATATCATATGATTAGATTTGATATCATATGATTAATTTGATATCATATGATTAGATTTGATTTAGAATATTTTGGGCCTTTTATGTTTTGGGCTAGTGTAAACCTAAAACTATAAATAGGGTGCCTTGCTTTGTATTCTACATCACAACAGAACAGATTTCACAGTTGCAGTTAGCAAGTGAAAGTTCAATAAGAAATCCCACAGTTGTGGGTAACACATTCTCTCCAAATACTTCTTCTCTCATTCTTCTCTTTCTTGTTTGTTATTATTCTTCTCTTTTGTTGTTCTTGATAATTACTTGTTATTACCATCATTATCATATTGTGAGTTTGTTCATCAATCTTGAGATCAAGATTGAAGGGAATTCTTCATAGGGTGTGAGGTGAATTTCCAACAAGATTTAATATAATCGAATAGACACAAAATATAGCATATCATTTAATCTAACAATAATCATAAATAATTAGAACAGTGTACCTTACAAGATTGAAGAGACTGTTGTCGGAGAGTGTGAGTATGAGAGAATTACTATTCTCATTGTCGTTTAGGATTTTCGGAGTGAGTTAATTATCTAATGAGGAGACATTTAAATAGCTAAACGAATGAGGGCAGAGACCTCACATTGGACTTAATTGAATGGTCCAACTCATCACAGTCCATTCAGACACAAAACTCAATCAAATAATTAATCTATTTAGTATTTAATAATAATAAATCATAATATAATTAATTAATAATTAATTATGTCAATCCATATTTGATTAATTAAATAGTTAATCTAACAAATAATATATTTAATTTTTTTAAAAGCAAGGAATCCAATATCAAAATGAATACAAAGGATATCCAACCCTTACAACTAAAAAGAGTTCAACCACCTTAAATTTAAACAATTTAAAAGGGACACAAACCAATCCAAAAAGTTACAAGAGGATCTATGCTAGCTTGTTATCTATACCTACTCAATTCCAAGTTAAAAATTTAAATGAGACCACAATATCATTTACATCTACATTAACAAAATTCTAGATTAACAGAATTACGAAATAAAGTGTTGTTTCTACTATTTGATGTACTATCATAAAAAAATACTATCAAAAGAAATAACAAAAATGTTATTCCTACACTAAAATCATATACTTACACCGTATTTCACTGTTCATCTATACGGTGAACAGTGAAATATTATAAAAATATTTTTTTAAAAATAATAAATAAATAATTATTATTTTAATATATATTTTTTAAAAAAATTTTAAATTAAATGATATTGACATAAAATTGTGTGATTTATTAACTTCATACCTTTATTAACATACCTTATACATTGCATTAACCAACTTAAAAATTATTCTTAACATCTGGACGTGTATTAACCAACTTCATAACTTCATTAACCAATTTTTTACATTTCATTAACCAATTTTGATTTATTGCTAAAAGTTATTTTTAACATCTGAACGTTTATTAACCAACTTCATCACTTCATTAACCAACTTTTTACATCTAATTAACCATTTATTTCAAGATTTTAAAGGCATTGTTCATGCACTGTTCACGTATTATAAATATTATATTTTATTTATTAAAAAAATAAAAACACTGTTCATCTTATAAATACAATGAACAACGTTTGGTGTAAGTATTTGGTGTAAGAAATGGGTGTAGCAATAGCATAGCTCAAGAAATAAAGTGTTGTTTATACTATTTGATGTACTATCATACTTTATCCATTCATATTTTCCTTTTATTATCTATTTATATAAGTAATAACTAATACAATGTATATATCATCTAAACAATGAATCTAATATTGAATGATTCTAATTTTATATTTCTACATTCTTAACAAATTTTCTAATTTTCTATTTATATGTTTTTAATAAATTATTTACTATATCATGAATACAATGATTCTAAATAGATAATTAATATATTTGGATACGTTTTTTATTTTTATATATATACAATGTATATATATGTAAACAATGTATATACAAAGTATCAAAATACAAGTGCAATGTGCTTCATTTAATTTTTATTTTTAAAAAAAAATCTGATATGAGTTAAAAAGATAAATATTTTTGGAAATAAATTAAAATATAAATTCATTCACAATACACCATAATAATAAAAAACATAAATTTTTTTTAAAAAAAATGTTGAAAATATAGTATATATATGAAGCATAAAATGCACAAATAAATCATCACTTATCCAGTAGTTTGAAACAAAATCAACAGATTTACCAAAAATCATCATGCAGCCTTTGATTTTCTCTTATCAATTGTCACCAACATTTTGTTGTCTAATAGTCACATTACTTGCTTTCACACTTTTCATGAAACATCAACGTATTATCCATAATTATGAAAAACCAAAACTCCCTCCAGGTCCTACACCTTGGCCTATAGTAGGCAATATTCCTGAAATGCTTGCAAATAGGACAACATTTAGATGGATTCAAAAAATAATGAATGACATGAACAAAAATATTGCATGCATTCGTTTAGGTCGTGTTCATGTCATTCTAGTGAGTGATTCTACAATTTCACGTGAATTATGTGTAAAATAAGATGCAAATTTTGCATCAAGACCAAGTAGTTGGTCTAATGAGTATGTTACTACTGGATATCTAACAACGGCACTTACTCCTTTTGGAGAACAATGGAAGAAAGTGAAGAAACTAATTCTTAATGAATTAGTTTCACCTCTTAGACATCAATGGCTTCATGAAAAGAGGGTGGAAGAAACTGATAACATCGTACGTTATATTTAGAACCAATGCACTAAAGTTGGTGGTGGTGGACTTGTGAATATGGGAGTTACTGCACAATAATATATAGGAAATGTTATTAGGAGATTTCTTTTGAATAAAAGGTACTTTGGAAATGGTGGTGAATATTTTGGACCCGGCTTAGAGGAAGAAGAATATGTGGAAGCAGTTTTTACTGTTTTGCAATATCTTTTTGCTTTCTCAGTTTCAGATTTCATGCCATGTTTGAGGGGCCTTCACTTGGATGACCATGAAATGATACTTAAGAAAGCTTGTAGTATTATGAAGAAACATCATGATCTTATTATTGAAGACATAATTCAACAATGGAAGGATGGAAAAAGGACAGACAAAAAGATTTTCTTGATGTTCTTATCTCCATCAAAGATGATAACAACAATTCCCTTTTAACTGAGCAGGAAATTAAGTATAATATTTTGGTATGTATCTTACACTCTTCTATTCATCTTTTTTTTTTCTAGTTATGCATTTAATTATTAAGTTTTTTAATAATCAAAATATATTGGAAAACCTAAGTACAAGGGATGCTCCAACTAATACATAAACCCTAATACTAAATTCTAAATTTCACAGGAATTGACACTCGCAGCAGTTGATAATCCATCAAATGCATTTGAATGAGGACTTGCTGAAATGTTAAACCAACTTGAGTTACTTAAAAAAGTTGTAGAAGAATTAGACAATGTAGTTGGAAAAGAAAGGCTTGTACAAGAATATGATTTTCCTAAACTAAACTATGTGAAGGCTTGTGCAAGAGAACCTTTTCGTCGTCATCCGATTTGTGATTTTAACCTTCCACATGTCGCACTAAAAGACTCAGTTGTTGCTAATTACTTCATCCCAAAGGGTAGCCATGTCTATATAAGGAGACAAGGAATTGGTCTAAACCCTAGAATTTTGAAAGATCCATTAAAATTCAATCCATAACGACATCTTAAGATAGATGGGTCGAATTTGAATTTGTCGAAACCTAGTTTGGACTTGGTAACATTTGGTATTGGAAGGCGTGGGTGTTCAGGAATCCTGCTTGGGACTTCGATGATTGTTATGTTCTTTGCAAGGTTGCTCCACAACTTCACTTGGAGTGTGCCACCAAACCTATCTGGCATTGACCTCTCTGAATCTTATGGTGGAACCACCAAAGTTGTGCCAGTTGTGACAGTTGTTGAACCAAGGTTGCCACGAGAAGTTTATGGTTTACATTAACTTAGTTATCTCACTAGGATTTGTTATTAAATGAGTGCAATAAATAAAGACGTGTGTCTATGGTCAAATAAAAATATTTTCTTGCGCAATGCTCATAACTTATATAATAAAAATTTGATTACATGATCTTAATTTGATGTTTTGACTTATGTTTGCTAGTTGATACATTTTTTTATTTAGAGATATTTGTGGTTTATTTTAATTCGATTTCGAAAGAATCTAATGTCCAAACCGAGTAAAAATATATGAATTGATTTGGATTGAATTTGTATATTTTTGTAATAAATACTAAACTGATAAATGACATGTTAGTTTTGATTGGATTGATCAAATATATTAAAACCAAATGTACAAAAATATTTAAATTACATCAACTAATTTTCCAAAATAATATTAAATTTATAATTTTTCATTTTCCACATTCAATCAAATTAAAATATAAAATTGACTTTTATATATATATATATATATATATATATATATATATATATATATATATATATATATATATATATATATATATATATATATATATATATATATATATATATATATATATATATATATATATATATATATATATATATATATATATATATATATATATATATATATATATATATATATATATATATATATATATATATATATATATATATATATATATATATATATATATATATATATATATATATATATATATATATATATATATATATATATATATATATATATATATATATATATATATATTTAAAAAATCGATTTATGTCTCAATGGTTTTTGCCTTGTGCCTTACAACTTGTCTTGTAATTTAATATGCATGAAACACAACCTTAATCAAATAAATGAAGAAAAAAATATACTTTTTTTTTTATCTTTCACCCAATATTGTAGAAAATGTACACATTTTTTTGTTATTTATTCACATATTATATGTGTGTGTGTGTGTGTGTGTGTGTGTGTGTGTGTGTGTGTGTGTGTGTGTGTGTGTGTGTGTGTGTGTGTGTGTGTGTGTGTGTGTGTGTGTGTGTGTGTGTGTGTGTGTGTGTGTGTGTGTGTGTGTGTGTGTGTGTGTGTGTGTGTGTGTGTGTGTGTGTGTGTGTGTGTGTGTGTGTGTGTGTGTGTGTGTGTGTGTGTGTGTGTGTGTGTGTGTGTGTGTGTGTGTGTGTGTGTGTGTGTGTGTGTGTGTGTGTGTGTGTGTGTGTGTGTGTGTGTGTGTGTGTGTGTGTGTGTGTGTGTGTGTGTGTGTGTGTGTGTGTGTGTGTGTGTGTGTGTGTGTGTGTGTGTGTGTGTGTGTGTGTGTGTGTGTGTGTGTGTGTGTGTGTGTGTGTGTGTGTGTGTGTGTGTGTGTGTGTGTGTGTGTGTGTGTGTGTGTGTGTGTGTGTGTGTGTGTGTGTGTGTGTGTGTGTGTGTGTGTGTGTGTGTGTGTGTGTGTGTGTGTGTGTGTGTGTGTGTGTGTGTGTGTGTGTGTGTGTGTGTGTGTGTGTGTGTGTGTGTGTGTGTGTGTGTGTGTGTGTGTGTGTGTGTGTGTGTGTGTGTGTGTGTGTGTGTGTGTGTGTGTGTGTGTGTGCATTTTGTATATTGTTTGGTGAAAGAGATACAAAAGAATAATATATTTTTTTTCTTTATTTATTTTATTAAGGTTGTGTTTGATGCACATGAAATTACAAGATAAGTTGAAATGCACAAGACAAAAATCGTTGAGACATAAATCAAATTTAAGTTATATATATATATATATATATATATATATATATATATATATATATATATATATATATATATTTGTACTGATTAGAAAATACATATGCGTAAGTCACCCATGTAAAGGGCATGGATGATCAGAGACCTTAGTAGGTATATTACGTTGTATGGTGGTTAGGGCTTGTTCTAGGCAGAGAGAAGTCTTGTACGGTGGTGTTTTATTGTGGTTTAGAGGACCCACTCATGTGAGGTGAGAGATCATATTTATATGTTGGCTGCTTGTGTAAGGTTATGTTTGGTGTGTGATATGTATTAATTAAAATATGTCTTTCCTCCCCCTAGAGAATAGGTATTTATAGAGGCTTTAGACCTATGTTTTAATGGGAAGGGTCACCGCCTACCGTCATTGGTGCCACTACTATAAAAAAAAATCCATTTTATCTCGATTAGATATGGGGGCTAACATCAGTTTCTATCCCCAACAATAGTTTTTTTATATTTTTAAAACTAGTGTCACATACCTTTTCGTTTATGGCAAAAACTGAGGGAAAAGATAAATTCTTTTGTAAAACTACTCATTATATTGTTTATACATAATATTAATAAATTAATTGTTTTCAAACTACATTGTTTAAACAGTACAGTAAAGTAAAAACGTATAACAATTTTTGAATTCGATTCATGGTCATCACTGTCAGTGAAGAACAAACGTTGGATATCTTGGGGGAAGAACAAATGATGGATCCTCGTTTTGTTGAATCTTGGGGATGAACACATGTTAGATGTAATATATTCTCTATGAATTTTTCCTTCATTTGTTCAAATATTAAAAAAAAAAGGTTAGTGATGTTCAATAATCAACAGTAGGTATTTTATAATCGTATCCACGTGGACTAATGCGATATTAATGCCGCTCAACAGTTAATATAGTTTTAAGTGAAGAATTATAAAGTTATTTGATTGTAAAAAGTAAAGTAAACTATTATTAAAGATAGAATTTAACAATGTAAGGATGGGAAAATGATAGACAAAGAAGATTTGCTTGATGTTCTTATCTCCCTCAATGATGATAACAACAATTCCCTTTTGACTGAGCAGGAAATTAAGTTTAATATTTTGGTATGTATCTTACACTCTTCTTTTCATCTTCTTTTATCTAGATAGGCATTTAATTATTAAGTTTTTTTTATAATACAAATATAATGAAAACCGAAGTACAAGGGATACTCCAACTGAATACATAAACCTTTAATACAAAACCCTAAATTTCGCAGGAATTGGCACTCGCAGCAGTTGATAATCCATCAAATTCAATTGAATGGGGACTTGCTGAAATGTTAAACCAACCTGAGTTACTTAAAAAAGTTGTAGAAGAATTAGACAATGTAGTTGGAAAAGAAAGACTTGTACAATAATATGATTTTTCTAAACTAAACTATGTGAAGGCTTGTGCAAGAGAAGCTTTTCGTCATCACCCCCAATTTGTGATTTCAACCATCCATGTGTCGCACTGAAAGACACAGTTGTTGCTAATTACTTCATCCTAAAAGGTAGCTATGTCTATTTAAGGAGACAAGGAATTGGTCTAAACCCTAGAATTTGGAAAGAACCATTCAAATTCAATCTAGAATGACAACTTAAGATAGATGGGTCTAATCTGAATTTGTTGGAACCTAGCTTGGACTTGGTAACATTTGGTACTGGAAGGCGTTGGTGTTCAAGAATCCTGCTTGGGACTTCAATGATTGTTATGTTGTTTGCAAAGCTGCTCCACAACTTCACTTGGAATGTGCAACCAAACCAGTCTGACATTGACCTCTCTGAATCTTATGGTGGAACCACCAAAGTTGTGCCACTTGTGGCAG